GGGTTTAGGGTTTAAGGTTTCAAGGCGTTTCATTAATAAGTTCGTAGGTAGGGATCCGATCTTTCACTCAGAATGCTTCTCATTCTGCTTAAGGCGTCCTTGTGGAGTCTTCAAAGGTTTTGGAGTTCAGGAAAGAGAGATCCAGTGACCTGAGTACTTCGGGGTGTTCAGTTGGCATATGTTAATACATAGCAGTGGGGGGCCAAAGACTAGAGAGAGCAACGCCAAGTAGTCCGACCTCTAGGAAGTGTTCCGGCGATGGGGCTTGAAGGTTGGGAGAGCCGGGGGCTGTATGGATTCAGGGGGCTGAAGGTGATGGTTTGGTTTAGGGTTTAGGGTNNTTTGTTGGGGGGGGGGGGGGCGTCGGTGGGAGGGATTCTTCTTGCTTTCATCCCTCCTGTTTGGCTTTAGCTTTCAGGTGCTTCATTTAAGGTTCTGCAGGTGATCTCTGGAGGATCTAGAAGGCTCTGAGGCGTTATATGAGGGTTTTATCAGGGATCACACACGGTTTCGGGCTTGGGGTTTCAGGATTGAAGGGGGTGTGAGGGTCCTTGAACCTAGAGAACGGTTTGTCTTTACGGTTGTGTTGTAAGAATTGCTGTGCCCCTTTTTCAGGGGTCCTTCTAACTGGCCACTCAGGGCTTGTATGAAAGTACCCGAAGTCGCTTAAAACCCCACTTTCGGCTACCGGCTCAATGACAGCACGAACAACCACTACAGCTACAGCTACCAACGTGGCAGCACAACAACAGCTGCTGCTGCTTCGTCAACTCCAACCACGACTGAAAGTCCACCTACCAATTTGACTGCCGGCACAAGTCTTGGTCCTGCATGCTCATGGCTTCTCCTATCCCAAAGAAGAGCACGCCCACTAGTCTTGACAAAAACAAAAAAACATGACCACGCACGCAACATCCCCTAAACCCCTTAACCTGGCCCTATAACCCTCCCCTATACCCTAAACCCTAAACCTTAAATCCAAAACCCTAAACCCTAAACCCTCTATCCCGCACCCAGTTCTCACCTCAAGAAACTCTGCCGACGGCTTAGAGTCCACAAGCGCCTTGTGCCAGAGGCTCTGGAGGTGCTTTGGGCTCATGGCTTAGGATTTGAGGTTTAGGGTTTAGGGTTTAGGATTTAGGGGTTAGGATTTAGGATTTAGGGTTTAGGGATTTAGGGTTTAGGGTTTGGGGATTTGGGGTTGAGGGATTCAGGGGCCTAGACCCTAAACCCTACACCCTAAACATTCAAGCCAGAGGATGCCGGTTTCTACTCGGATGTTCGCAGGTAGTTATAACTGGGCTTATAAGTCCCCTAAATATGAATTATAAGTATAGTTACCTTACTTATAACCCCAGTTATAACTACCCATGAACCTCCAAGTATGATGGTAGTAACCCTGAATCCTAAACCCTCCCTAAACCCCAAACCCTAAACCCTAAACCCTAAACCCTAAACCCTAAACCCCGGGTTCTGGGTTCTGGGGTAGAGGGGTCTGGGATTTGGCGCTCTGAGCCGAGGCCCTGGGGGAAAGGGTCTAGGGCCCTCTGGGTTGCTAGTGTGGATGATATACATCCTGCGTTACCTTAAGGACCCTAAACTATGGGAGCTATGGTATATCGCTTGTTATGGGTAGTGCAGCATGTATGTCATCAGCCGTAGTTTAAGCGTTTCGGCTTCAGGTTTAGACTTGATGGCTGAGGAGTGGCGGATTGAAAGCTCGCAGGCTTAGGGTCTTGGGCTTTAGGATTTTGGTCTTTCCAGATTCAGGCATGATGTATCAGCAAAGTCTGGTGAACATGTTGGGCTGCAGGAGTGAGAGCATACTGCCATGCTCCGGGGGTTTAGGGTTTGTGACCTGTCATGGTGGTCGAGATGACAACGAAATAATGTAGGGGCTTCTACAACTAGAAGAGGGTTTTGGGGGGTAGAATATACTGTAATGATAATAAGCATGCCCCAAAAAGACATAGGTAATTACTTAGGCCATATATGACCGTGTTTGCCTTTATGGCGACCGCCGCATCTTCATTGGTAGACTTACCTGTCCAGTATCTTTCGGGCAGAAAAGGTTAACTCTTGGACTCTTGGGATTAGAATATAGGGGGCATACTAACCCTAAACCCTAAACCCCCCCAAAGAGGCTAGAGGTTACCTACTCTACTACTAAGTAAGCCACCGTCTCTTCTGCCTGTCAGTCGATGAGGCTCTTGAGCTTGAGATTTGTCAAAGGCTTGGGGTGAAGGCTTCAGGCTTGCGGTTTAGGGTTTAGGGGTTTAAGGGTTTAGGGTTTAGGGTTGGGGCTTAAGGGCTTCATGGTTTAGGGTTCAGGGTTTAGGGGTTTAGGGTTCAGGGTTTAGGGGGACATCCGGAGGCCTCCATCACGGCTAGAGCATCGTCTGCGCAGGCGGCTTCTTTGACCTGTCAATGAAGGTCTACTCCAAAAACAAGGCAATATAGGGGCCTTAATAATTGGAATATGTAGGTTTGAGGGACTATATCTATCATAAGGATGTCTTCCTGACCGTTCAGCCGTCTACAGTACAGAGAACCTGCATCAAGGATTTGATTAGCTACAGTAAGGTGCTTATAGGCTCAGGCTGGTAGCTGCTAAACTGGTAATGGGGTCTACAGAGTTTGATGGGATCTGATATGAAGGGCCCTTACCAAGCAGAAATGGGCTTTGTGCATCAATTTAAAGCATGGTTATATTACAGTATAGAGACAACAACGAAGTATGATTGCTCATTATTCACACCCCTATAGATGACGATCGTATTAACAGGTCGGACACCGTACACCTGCATCACACCCTAATGTAGAGGCCTTGATAATTAGAATAGGGTTTTGCGGTATATTGTACTATAAGTATAATAAGGACCCTCCCCCCCCCAAATAACATAGGTAGTAAAACCCTAAACCCTAAACCCAAATATAATATAGATAGTAATTAAAGCCCCCTATATTGCAGCCCAAACTCTTCCTATGGCCAGCTTGAGACAGAGCGCTAGCTGAGGAGACTCGTCTTCTGGGCGCATTCTTGGGCTCAGTAGTAGAGTCATCATGGGGTTGTAACCATATGGTTTAGGGTTTCCAGGACTTAGTCAGTAGCTCAGGAAGTGCTTCAGGGGCGCCTTGTAGGGTTGAAGGTGTATATCACGTGCTCATGTGTGGGATGCCACGTTGAGTCTGCTAGGGCTAGGGCTCTGCTTGCATTATTGATGTTTCGGCATCGGTTTCAGGATGCGCTGCCGGGGAACTCAATATCGTCGACAAAGGGCCACACTTTTCATTGTACTCAGGGATTAAGGGCATTGGCGTCGGTTCACAGGAAATCATTACAGCTCACAGGGCAAACATTCGCCATCCGGCAAGCAAGCCCCAACAAAACATCATGAGGGGTCAAGGAAGCATGACAAATTTTAGCAATGATCGTGACACCAGAAATACTAGACTGCACCTAGAACATGAAAGTTGGCAACTAGTTCACAAGCAGGGTTACAGTTGAGATAAGCCAAGTTTGCGTCGCAGAAACTCCCAAACACAGCAACTAAGCTGTATACCTGAAACCACGAAGGAATCATTTACATGTTTTCAGTTTTGAGTATAGAAATCGGGGATCGTCGTCGCAATCGCGGGCTTGGAAGACGAGGTCGCGATACGTGTGCTTTTACACGCCCGATACACGATGCTTCGGCGAAGCTAATGAATGGCGTGCAGCAGGGTATCCGGGTTGAAGTATGTGTGTGTATATATATAGGCAGGCCCCAGAATCCAAAGAACCCCATACTGTACCCCTTCATTAAGGAACATATCGTAAATATCCGCAAGTCAAAGTATGAAGCATTGCAACGTATAATTTACGGTATATTCCTCATTTAAAGGGTGTTGAGCGCTCTGACACTGGAGGGAAGCTCCGAACTAAACCGTACCGTCAACTTGATATCGGTGCATTAACAATTGTAGTAGGGTTCTGGGGGCTCCTTATTATTTCAATTAGTGTAGTGGACCCCAAAACCCTAGTCTCATTGCGAAGGCTCTTATATTAGTCACCGCGATCCTTGCAGATGCGCGACACTCCAATTCCAACTCCTACTATAGAGCCCCATAGAACCTTATGAAGCCATATCAAGCCCTTATAGAACCCCAAAGCCCTAAAGCCTATAGCCCTACACAGCTATAAAGTCCCGACGTCCCAGATCCTTCAAGGCCTCCCAAGAAAACACCATGCCCTGAGCCACCGTGCTAATAGGGATTATGAAAGAATAGTTTATAATCAGAACCCTGCAGTAGGGAAATCGTGCTACTAAAAATTCCGAGTTGTAAAATACCCAGATCTTCCAACATCCTTTGATTAAGGACTGTAGCTTGAGTTTCGATAGGATCTCTGATATGATTTAAGGTATATTCCTAAATCAAGGAAGCTCTGAGTACTTGCCTGGTCAAGGGCCATTTGGAAGCCCCACTCGTCCACCTTTCGGAAGGACTGAGGCCGGGCCGGCTTAGGGGTTTGGGGTCCAAGGGTTTTAGGGTTTAGGGTTTAGGGTTTAGGGTTTAGGGTCCAGGGCTTGCAGGGTTTAGGGTTGCGGGTTTAGCGCATGGCTTTTAAAGGGTCGAGTGTTTAGCGTTCTAAAACCCAGGTCCTAGGATTTAAGACTTCTTGTTGCAGGGCTTAACTTTCTCCCTGTATCTCTCTCTCTGTGTATAGACACATATATGTATATACATATTTAACAAATACCATACGTACATGCAACCTTCACGTAACACTTCCCAAAAAACATGAACCAAGAGGGGACTGTGCTTGCAGGTCCATGGGCAATTACTGCTACGGGTCTGACCGAACTTCCCGCTTAGGCATCAACGTGCACAAACTCTCTGGTACATCAACTGTTTGACGGTTGCTGGGTTCTGCGTGTTGATTACGGTGGGATAGTGCAAACCCATAGCTTATTCTGAAGGGTATTGACTTCCCAACATGTCTAACTCGCCTCCATCCCCTCCTCTTCAGACTCGGCTGGCTTTGCAGCCTGCTGCCATGGCGTTCGGGGGCTCAAGGTTCAAGGTCTTAAATTTGGGAGACGCGCAGGGCACAGAAAACGGGGCTGCAAAAAAAATCGTGACTCAATCATGTGACACCGAGTAAGGTCGGCTAAAATACTTCTGGCTAGCTACTTAGCGGTCAGCAAATAGATTTTTTCTGCTGTTCCAGTCAGGAATGGATTCCCCGGGCGATGTGCTCTGCTTGAAGCAGAAGAAAACTTGCCAGTAGGGTATACGAACGCTTCAAATCACACTAATGGAAGCTGGCCGGCTAGGCAGTGTACATCCAAACCTTTTGATGCACGGAGTAGGGCGAAGTGACCGGTTTGGGGGGCTTACATTGGTTCATATTCACAACTTACACCTTCATGGTTGGGGTATCTGGATAATCATGGTTTTCGAATGAGATGCGATTTAATTACGGCTGCGCTTCAGCGGAAGTGGGTCTTATGCAGATTGGAAGTTGCGATTTGAGGTTCCGGATTTCTTGCAATGACCGAAAATCTTCAAATTGAAGGAGCTCAAGTCCCACACTTCGCCCTGTCAGGGATGCCTCGGCCGCGGCGGGTGCCTCGGCCGCTTTCTCAGCAGCCTTTGCTTGGCAGCTGCTGCCTGACGTCAAGTATGCGAGAGTCTGAGTCTGGAGCAAGAGATTGCATCGTAGTATTCGGGGAGCAGAAGCGCATACAAGTATCCCGACATACATGCACAATGCGGATAATAAGTAGCTGTATTGCTTTGCGGCTCTACGGTGTTGGGAATCGTGCTGTATCGGAAAGGCGGACTGCTGATAAAATGCCGTCCGAGTGCTTGGATCGAGGGCCAGACCCACCCCAGAAGCAATTCAAGACCCGCCACAATAGAAGTGCTCCGACAACACATTATGATGCTGCAGTGACACGCAAGCATCCCATTAAGCTGATTCTGAGCGCTTTGCGTCCTTGGCAAAATACAACTACTGTATAGTCCCTACTATTGTGCAAATGACCAGCACGTAACACGGTTTGTAGGATTAACAGCGCTTTCGTCTGTTGCACTCCAATAGGCAGCAAACCACGGAATCTAAACCCTAAGCCCTAAACCCTAAACCCTAAACCCTAGACCCTTTTACCCTAAACCCTAAACCCTAAACCCTAAACTCAGCTCGTCAGGATGCTCTCATCAGTGCTGTGGGGCATTCTCCATGAGTGCA